CCTAATGGCCAGCCCATAGTCTGCTTTCATCCAAAGGTGAATGCCTACTTTAGTCTTCCGCCCCTATTTCTTTGGGGCACTAGGCAACAACTTTAATTATTCTTGAGTCTCTAATCTCATGTGGAAATTGTAATTTGTGACTCCCCCCCCCCCCTTTCTACTACATGTAGATTTGGAGTGTATCGATAAATGTACAAGATTTAAAGAACTGAATTTTATTTATTGAGCTGCTGCGTTTTTATTTTTAGGTAGTTTTAATGAGTATGTGAGCTATGGTGTTTGTTCAAGTTCAGGGTATCTAGGTGCTGAGACCTCAAAGGAAAATGAATTACGGTTTTTGCCCTTTTGTTCATAGCCTGGAGTAGAAGCAGCACCTGTATTCTAAACAGGCATAAACATTTACGGTTGGTTGTTGTTGTGTGCCGTCAACTTTATTGGTACTCACAGTGCCCCTGAACAGGATTTCTGAGGCTGTGAATCTTGACAAGAGCAGAAAGCCTTATCTTTTCTCTAGTAGAGTGGCTGGTGAATTCGAACTGTTGATCTTGTGGTTTGCAGCCCAACTCGTAAACCAGTATATTATCAGAACACCTGTGGTGGAGATAAAAAAAAAAACATTAGAGTTCTTTAATGATCCTCCTCCAAGTCATCAAGTTGATGCAAACTCACAATGACCCTGTATGGGATTTCTAAGGCTGTAAATCGTTGTTGTTGTTGTGAAGTGCGGTCAAGTCAGTTCTGACCCATAGTGACCGTGTAGAGGGTTTCTGAGGAGCAGCTGGTAAGCTTGAACTGCCGACCTGGCACTTCAAACAGCTTTGCAGTCTGACACACTAACCCATAGCGCCACACCAGGACTCCTTTAAATCTTTGTTGTTGTGATGTGCCGTCGAGTGGGTTCCGACACATAGTGACCCTGTACAGGGTTTCCGAGGCTGTAAATCTTTATGGGAGCAGAAAGCCTCATCTTTCTCCCACGGAGCAGCTGGTAGTTTTGAACTGCTGTTCGCAGCCCGCGATTTGTAACCACTACTAACTACACTTTTAAATCTTTAGTGGACTTGAATTATCCACCTTACACTTAGCAGCCTAGTGCTTAGCCTACAATGCCACCAGGACTCCTTAAAAAGATGGAGAGAATGAGAGAGAAGAGGAAAGACTGGTTGGTCCAAAGTATAGTGAGATGGGGGGTTTCTGAGCCCATCCATGGACCAAGCAAGGACATGGACATGGAGGGCTAGAGCTGAGAGTGGAGTGTCCTAATTTTAGTCTGGTGAGGGGAGTTGCACCAGAATGCCCAAACTTGCAGATAGTACCCGTTTTGGCTTGACCTAGCTTCAATGGCTTTAAGATCACAACTCCCACTAAAAGAAGATAGAAATTTTTTTGGTAAAGGAAACAAGTGTAAATTTCTATACTTTGATGAGCTTGACCTGTACTTATGAGTGTAGTAGCTTAGAATACTAACTGAAAGGGAAGAAGTCTTCATTCTACCCACCTCTGTATGCAGGGGTGATAGGGACAGTCAACTTAGACATTGGCTACCTATAGTGGCAGGGCTATAAATGCACAAAAGGAGCTCTGATATAGTGTAGTGGTTACGAATCGGGCTGCTTACCTCAAGGTTAGAAGTTCGAAACTACCAGCTGTTCTGCGGGAGAAAGATGAGGCTTTCTGCTCCCATAAAGATTTACAGCGTCGGAAACCCTGTAAAGGGTCGCTATGAGTCGGAACTGACTCCACGGCACATAACAACATAAAGGCACAAAGTGACTGACTTACAAGTTTTCAAGTGTGAGTTTAGTTTCAGAGTGTGCGTGGGAAGGTAGAATCCTGACGGAATTGTTTTCATCTTGTCTAGACAGAAGAGTCTTTTTGTACAGTGACTCTGTGTATTCCTTCCATCTTCTCTTGATGCTTTCTGCATCATTCAATAGTTTGCCTAGAGAATCTTTCAATAACGAAAGTCGAGGCTTGAATTTTTTTTTTCAGTTCCCTCAGCTTGAGAAATGCTGAGCGTGTTCTTCCTTTTTGGTTTTCTGATTCCAGATCTTTGCACATTTTGTTGTAATATTTGGCTTTATCTTCTTGAGCTGATCTTTGAAATTTTCTGTTCAGCTCTTGGACCCTCCTCCTTTCTTCCATTTGCTTAAGCATCTCTACGCTGGAGAGCAAGTTTCAGTGTCTTTTCTGACATCTATTTTGACCTTTTCCTTCTTTCTTGTCTTCTTAATGACTTTTTGCTTTTTTAATGTATGATGTTCTTGACGTCATCACACAAGTCTTCTGGTCTTAATGTTCAGTCATTTCAAGAGGTACCGTATGATCAAGAGCCAATGATATTGAAGGAGGAAGTCCAAGGTGCATTGAAGGAATTGGCAAAGAACAAGGCACCAGGAATTGATGGAATAAAAATTGAAATCTTTCAAGAAAGTGGGTGGCACAGGAGGCACTAACTCATCTCTGCCAAGAAATTTGGAGGACGACTATCTGACCGACTGATTGGAAGAGATCCGTATTTGTGCCCATTCCAAAGAGAGGTGAACCAACGGAATGCGGAACTCATCAGACAATCTCTGATATCAGTGAGAGTAAAGTTTTACTAAATACAGAAACGGCTGCAAGCATTCTTTTATAGAGAACTTCCAGAGGTTCAAGCTGGATTCAGAAGAGGCCGTGGTATGACGGATATCATTGCTGATATCCAATGGATCTTGGCTGTGCATAAGGTTGCTATGAGTCGGTACCGACTCGATAGCACCTAACAACAACAGATGGGTCTGGTGAAAGGAGACAAAGATAAGATTCTTACGATTCAGTAGTGAGTAGTTGGTATCATGACTAACTGCTGTTGCCACAACTGTAAAGGTAGAAGTTTTGTAACATAAAGAGAGTAGTTGTTAATCTTACATTCCAGGAACAGAGGACCCTAGGACCATCAAGTAAAAGCATGAGCAGAATGTGGAATCGTATCCAGAGAAGCAACAACTCCAGATATGGAGGCATTGATGAGGACATGGAGAGAGAGAGAGCGGCTGAGAACTCTAGGCTCATGGAAAGAGAAAGATTATTTGCTGGCAGCCAGGAGGCAGGATTGCAGAATTTTGCCCTTTGGTTGTTTCAATAATAATATATTTCTGAATGTTTTGGTGTTCGTCCCCTCCCACCCAAAATAATAATAATTTTTATTATTTCAAATTTTAAAAAGCAAGAGAGAGATCCAGACAGAAGGAAAAGCAAATCTAAATTGCCAGCATGGGATATATAATTATCTTGTTGAAGGAAAATAAAGAGATAAATGTGATAAAATCACAATGAATAAAAGGGAGTCGTTTGAACTGCAAGGTTGGCAGTTCAAGCTCACCAGCTTCTCCTCAGAAACCCTATACAGGATCGCTATTAGTCGGAACAGACACAACGGCACTTAACCAACACCATCTCCTTAAAAAAAAATAAAGATATGAGTACAGTTTGCATCTGTTTCTCAATTAAAGATTGTACTAGGTAAGCAAACAAAAAATTAAAAGTAAATTGCCTCAAAAGTCCAGTTCAGCTCTTATACACTTGGGGTCACCATGAGTTCATATCAATTCAACAGTAACTGGCTTTGTGAATTTAATGTTTTATTTCTTTACTGTTTAGCCTCAAAGGAGACAAGTAGGACAGGTAGTGTGCCACCACTTAGTTTTAGAGCAAAGGAAAAGCTAACACAGATACTGGAGAGTCAAGCATGATGCTCCCTGTTTTGCAAGTATTGAGTTTGGGAAGTAGGAAGATACTCTGGAGAGATAATCAGACCTCAAGTACATCGTGGTTTTTCTTTATGAATATTGTCGCTAAGTTGCCTGAAGTTGGTTTCGACTCATAGCAACCCTGAATAGGGTTTATGAGGATTGGCTGGTGGTTTTGAACCACTAACCTTGTGGTTTGTAGTTAAGCACTTATCCTACAGTGCCATGCCAGGACTCCCATTTTCTTTATGAATAGAGAGATGAAGCAAGGAAGCCTGTTGGAGGCAGTCTACACAAGCAGTGATTATTACAGTAAACTTCATTCTTATCAATAAAATATCTGGCCTTTGAAGAATTAATGTTGCTCTTTCTGTTTACTATATAGTGTTATAGTTGAAGATAGATTTAAATAGTACAGCAGAAAAGAAACTGCTATTTTCAAGTACGTTGTTGTTGTTTTTAAGCGCTGTCAAGTGAATAACGACTCACAGAGACCCCGTAGAGAGTTTTCAGGGAGCAACTGGTGGGTTTGAACTGCCGACCTTGTGGTTAGCAATCTAGTGTTTATCTAGTGCCACACAGGACTACCTTTTAAAAGTAGTACATAGGGGGATGTAAACTCAATATTTTCAGGGACAAGTAGGTCATTTATTTAGGGATTAAATGACTTCCTAAATTGAATTGAGTTTATTAATCCATAGTTAATTTGAGCATTAAATAAAAGTATGTAAATTTGGTGTCATTTGTAACACTTGCTGGAGATGGCAAATTTTGTGTAGTATGGCTAAATTAAAATGCTTATAAGGTTTTTGTAAAACACATTATTTCAAATATTTACTGAAAACACTAAATATACTATGCCTCAGGCCTCTAGATTTTGATCTTAAAAATGATTATTTCTGTGATCATAATTTTATACAGTCTATTTTCTAATAGGTTTTTGTTAGGGTCTTTTTTGTTAGTTTCAGATCTCTTTACAAGAAGACTTAATACAGTATTCTGTACAGTGTAATCGTGTTTGAGTCCCAGCTCTGCCACTTATAAGCTGTGTAATCTTAGGCAAGTTATGTTCCCACTTGGTATTGCAGTTTCCTTTAATTCTACAGCTCTTAACCTCTCACACGTAAATGTGTAGACATGAAGAAAGTACTCAGATCATTGGTGGTGTTGGTTTATTTCTAAATTGTCTTTGTAGATTGGAGGGGTAATAATAATGTCCTTTAAGATGGGAGGATGACACTTAATTTCTGTTCTATTTCTTCTTTTTAGATGGGAATGATGAGCAACCCTAATCCTTATGGTTCACCATATAGTCAGAATTCTGGACAGCAGATTGGAGCTGGTGGCCTTGGTCTCCAGATTCAGACAAAGACTGTATTACCAAATAACTTGTCTCCATTTGCAATGGACAAAAAAGCAGTTCCTGGTGGAGGAATGCCCAATATGGTGAGTTCTAATGTTACAAACTTCTCTTAAAGCTGACATTTTAACCAAAGTATTAAGTGAAACTTTACCTGAAGTCTATTATATACATACTTTATATTTACTAGAAGTCTAAGTGGATGTATAATGGATAGCCCTTGTGAGCAGGGAGGCAGTTTTACATGCAGATTTGTTCTTTGTGATATTGATCAGTGAGAGTGCTGATCCAAATAGGAATAAGTAAAGTGCTACTGTGCTGTTTTAGGGACCAGCCATCTAGCAGATTCTGTTTGTAAGCACTTCTGTAGGATAGGAAAAGTGGGTCCTTTCACTTCATGAGACTCTAGCAAAGGATCCCAAGTCTCCATGACCATATCTATTGATTTGTATGAGACGAACCCTGGTAGCAAAGTGGTTTACAAGTTGGCCTGCTAACCACAAGGCCAACAGTTTGAATCTGCCAGCCACTCCATGGGAGAAAGATGAAACTTTCTGCTCCTGTAAAGATTTACAGCCTTGGAAGCCATATATAAGGTTGCTAAGAGTCAGAACTGACTCGATGGCATATCCTTCCAAAGGTTTTTTAACTGATTTTTGTTATGTAGAAATTTCAGTAGCTTTAGAACATTGCCTTTTTTTGTAAAGTGAACTCATTTCTAATTGTAAATGTGTTTAAGTCATTCATTTGCTGTCGACTTCAGAAAGAATTGTCTACAATGATTTTCTGTTTTCTCTCACATTTTAGTTTTTTGTCATATGTTCATTGAATGTCTGTATCCTAGATAGTCTTTTAGTGCTGGAGACAATAAGATGAATAAAACATGATACCTTTGTCACCTGTAAATCTTTTTTTTTTTTTTTTTTAATTGGGAAAACAAATGCATGCCTTTGTTCAAAGAACTCACTTTAGGATAAGCACTGGACTGCTAACCACAAGGTTGGTGGTTCAAATCCACCAGCAGCTCCTCAGAAACCCTATACATGATCACTGAGTCAGAACCACCTCCACAGTACTTAACCAACAAGAAGCTTCTGTTGGGTATGGCAAGTACTACTTCCCTGTTCTTTAAAACCTACTGTAGACATGCTCTTTGTGAATCCTCCTCTGTTCCTTCTTTCCCACCAGAAGTTACTGTGTTCTTACCTTGTTCTCATTTTCTGTACAATTTTCATACTTTGAACATCGTTGTTGTTGTTAAGTGCCATCAAGTCAGTTCCAACTCACAGTAATCCTGTCTTAAGGTTTCCGAGGAGCAGCTGGTGAGTTTGAACTGCCAACCTTGTGGTCGAGTGCTTATCCTACAGCACCACACCAGGGCTCCTCGCTGATAGGAGCCAGATTATGTTTATCTTTGAATCCTCCATGTTTAAAAAGTTAAGGTTGGTATAGTCTACCCTCTATAAAGGTTTTGATTGAAAATACCCAGGTCTGTAGCACTTAACACTAAATTTGTCTTTACCGTTATATCTTTAAGGGCCAACAACAGGCCCCACAGGTCCAGCAGCCAGGCCTTGTGACTCCAGTGGCCCAAGGCATGGGTTCTGGAGCACACACGGCTGATCCGGAAAAGCGCAAGCTCATCCAACAGCAGCTGGTTCTCCTTTTGCATGCTCACAAGTGCCAGCGCCGGGAGCAGGCTAATGGGGAAATGAGGCCATGCAACCTTCCCCATTGTCGCACAATGAAGAATGTCCTCAACCACATGACGCACTGCCAGTCAGGCAAGTCCTGCCAAGGTGAGTGGGCTCACAGGCTTGGTGTACTCTGCAAGTAGTGTTTCCAGTTTTCAATGCAGTCAGAGAGAAGAGAGAAAAACAAGTTAATTTTGATACCTCTTGTCTTGATAGGATCTTAGTCTCCATTCTTATTGCTGATTTTATTGCTGTTTGGTGCCATTGAGTCTGTTCTGCAACCTAGGTATACAACAGAACCTATGTATACAACCCCATACAACAGAACAGAACACTGCCTAGTGTAGTCCTGCACCATCCTCACAGTAAAAACAATGAAGTGTAGAGATCTGTTCATGATTTGCAAACCATTAATTGCATTATTACTAGATTTCCTGTGGTTCCATACCTCTATTTTTACTTTGTAATGTGTTTCTCTCTTCATATAATATAAGGGGACACGGAATGGTTTAAAATCAGGAAAGGTGTTTACCAGAGTTGTATTTCACCGTAATTATCTAGTATGTATGTGGAGTAAGTAATCCTAGATGTTGGGTTATATATAGAAGAACTTGACATCAGGGTTGGAGGAAGACTCATAACAATCTGCAGATAATATAACCTTGCTTGCTGAAAGCGAAGAGGACTTAAAATACTTACTGATGAAGATCAGAGACCACAGACTTCAGTATGGGTGGTTGCACCTCAACGTAAAGAAATCAAAAATTCTCATCACTGGACAAATAAATAAATAGATAAAAGATTGAAGTTGTTGAAGACTTCAAGTATTAAAGATGTCAGCGTGAGGACTAATGTGTACCTGACCCATGCCATGATATTTTGAGTAGCCTCATTTGAATCTAATATTTGGGCAATGAATAAGGAAGACCATAGAAGAATTGGTGCATTTGGGTTATGGTGTTGGAGAAGATTACTAAAAGTACTTTGTACTTCAGAAGAACAAAGAAATCTGTTGAAAGTACAGCCAGAATGCTCCTTCGAGGCCTAGAAGCTCAGACTTTGTCTCTTATATTTTGGCCATATTATCTCGCTAGTGAAGGACATCATACTTAGTAAAGTAGAGGGTCATTGAAAAAAAGGAAGACCCTCAAGTTGATGGATTGATACAGTGGCAGCAGCAATCGAATCAAGCGTAACAACACTTGAGGATTGTGTATGTGGATCAGAACCGACTCAACAGCACTTAACATTTTTCCAGTGACTGTAAAGTAAAGTATACTGAAAAGTCAGTGTTTCAAACCCATCAGCCACTCCAGGGCTACTGTAAGTAACCTGTTAACAAGTGCTTTTTGTAGTGTCCCAGTACACTCAGAAAAACTATGTATGCCTTTACTGGGGGGGAGGGGGCGAGGGGTGATATCAGTAACTTTACATGTACTGTAATGCCTCAAGGTTTCTGAATATCTTATACTTTCTCATATCTTACCAGTGGACTTCAAGCCTTAACAACTTGTAAACAAGACCACTTTGTTGCAATACATTGATTTGTTAGTTTGCTAAGCCTCCTGGCAAGCCTGCCTTAAACATAGTATGTCTGTGTTAAATGTCTAGTTGTTTCCAACTCATAGTGACTTTGTATATAGGTTTTCCTTGGCTGTAAATTTTTGCAAGCACTGAAAGCCAGCCCCATCTTTCTCTCAAGGAGCAGCCAGTGGGCTTGAACCACCAACCTTGCAACTGGCAGTCCAGTGCTTATACTACAAAGTCACTGCATATAGCCTTGTTAAAGTATACAGCTGTGAGTGGCCATAAGCTTTCTGAAGAAAAATTACCACTATCTTGTTAAGTACTGTGGAGTCGGTTCTGACTCATACTTGACCCTACACAGGGTTTCCAAGGCTGTAAATCTTTATGGGAGCAAACTGCTGACCTTGAGGTTGGAAGCCTGACTCGCAACCATTATGCTACCGGAGCTCCTTAGCCTTCTATTAAATATTTGGTTTTGTAATTTTTGCAGAATGTGTTTCTATCAATCCTAGAAGGAAAAAAGCTATTTTCACTTTCCCTATACCTGAAACAAATAGCTACGCGGGGTTCTAGCATTAATTCCTGACTTATCTTTGTTGGTGTAACCCTTATGTTTTTGGTAAGTACTGTTGCCTTGGTTCCAACTCATAGTGACCCTGTAATAGGGTTTCTGAGGAGTGGTTCATGGGTTTGAACCACTGACCTAGTGTTTCAAACCAAGGATACTTTCGGTCGCTTCATATGCATGTGTAGGCTGTACAGTGAATCATGAAAACTAAATAATTGATTTATAAATTAAAATGTTGACAGAGAATGAACAAATTTGCCTTGGAGGGAAGTACAAGCACATTGCTCCTTAAACAGATGTGTTTGTCTTATGTCCCTTGGACTTACTATCAGGAGATACCAGTCCCTGGAGAAAGATAGCATGTTTGGTAAGTTAGAAGGTTAGTGAAAAAGTGCAAGACCCTCAACAAAATGGAGTGACACAGTGGCTGCAACAGTGGGCTCGAACAGAGGACTGAGCAGTGTTTCCTTCTCTTATGTTAGTATTAATAGGAGCTACATGGTGAAATGAATTCGTTCATTTGTAGCATTTGTTTAGTAAGTACCCAAGTGATAGCTATTAATATTTATTAATATACAAATATAACCAATTTATTTCATTTCAGTGGCACATTGTGCATCTTCTCGACAAATCATTTCACACTGGAAGAATTGTACAAGGCATGACTGTCCTGTGTGTCTCCCTCTCAAAAATGCTGGGGATAAGAGAAACCAACAGTGTGAGTAAAGAAATCATTTTGAAGCTTTTTTACTGAAATTATTTTTGGAATGTCACCAGTAATTTTTGGTTATATGCGGTTTCTTTGACTTGCTTGATACTATTGATACCATGAAAGGTGTGGAAAGCACTCCATTTAAAATGGCAACCAAAAATAAGTAAAGCTGTTCATGCTGAAATTATTTTTACACAAAACTAGAGTCAATTTTACACAGTTGAAGCCAATTTCGATGAGATTACATAAAGTAATAATTGATCCTATAATTCATTTGAAATAACAAAATCTGTGAGAATAGCCAGGGAAAACCTGTAAGAAGGAGTCTGCTAGAGAAGTTTTCCCCACTGAGTAAAGTTGTAAAATTATAAGAGGTGTGACACCTGTATGAGAATACACAAGTTAGTGAAAGATACTAGAAAATTTCAGAAGCATCCCCATGTGTGCACGTAGAATTTATTATCTGTAAAAGACTGGACTTGAACTTATTTAAATAGACTAAAAAGCCAGGCACACAAGCTGGTTTCTGGATGGTTCAGCTCCTATGACGATAGAGAATTTAACGTTCCATTTTAAACACAGGAAAACCTTTAAAATCATTGCTTTAGTGTAAGGTAAGAAAGATGAGGCTTTCTGCTCCCGTAGAGCTTCACAGCCTCGGAAACCCTATACAAGGTCACTGTGAGTTGGAACCGACTCCACGATACATGACCACCTGTGACTTTGTTGTTAAGTGCTGTTGAGTCAGTTCCAACTTGCAGCACCCCTCTCTAGATAGGATTTCCAAAGAGAGTAGCTGATGGGTTTGAATTGCCATCTTAATGGTTAGTAGTCCAGGGCTTATTCTACAGTGCCACACTAGATATCCAATACCTGTGACCTTAGTATTCAGTAATTTCAATTTTTCTAGATGCCTGTGACTTTCATATCTAAAAAAATTTTGATTATTTTTATGATTCTTGAATGGAAAATAACAATATGCAGAGATTGTTTTTAAAGTACTGCTACCATACCTTCTCACTTGAAAAAAATAAAGCAGGGTTAAAAGCAAAATTTGGAACTATATATATCACATGGCCCAGTAGAAAATTGGAGATAGTAAAACAGCCCGAAAAAAATATGGCAGAGTTCACTTATAAAGAAACTAAATAATGTATCTCCATTTCTCTCTTGTCATCTTGGCGTTTATATGGTCTTTAGACATTCATATGTTGTTAGTAGAAACAATCACCTTTATCAGTTGGCTCTGCATCTGGAAATAAATAGTAGGAGATAAGGTACATGTACTGAGATGTTACATACTTACATGACTAATAGTGTGTTTCTTTGAAACTCACTTAGACGTACTGATCTTTCTGTCACTGTCCCTTAAGGTTGGAATACTGTTTCTTTTGTATTTCAGCAATTTTGACTGGAGCAGCCGTTGGACTTGGAAATGCTGGTTCTCTAGGGGTGGGTCAACAGTCTACACCCAGCCTAAGCACTGTCAGTCAGATAGATCCTAGCTCCATAGAACGAGCCTATGCTGCTCTTGGACTACCCTATCAAGTCAATCAAATGCCGGCACAACCCCAGGTGCAAGCAAAGAGCCAGCAGAATCAGCAGTCTGGGCAGTCTCCCCAAGGCATGCGCACCATGAGCAACATGAGTAAGTTTGTGGTCTAGTAACAGATGAGATGTTGCTTGTATGTGTAAATACTGCCTCCAAATGCAGGTTTGACTCCATTTATTTTAGTTTCTCTCTCTTTACCTCTGTCTGCTGCATTCGTTTTTGAAAATTTTAAATTTCAGCATAAAAGATCCTTTTTAACTTAACTACTAGATTAACTGCTGCTGATTTATGTCCTCCTTCACCTTTTTGTAAATATACGTGACTTTATATTCGCCGAAATTGGGGTGTAACATACATTGTTCCTTAACACAGTGTCAACATTTTCCATAGTATTTCCTTTTATAAAGATTGAATAGTGTACTTCATTGTTTATAACAAGCGCTTACAGGTAGACATTTGCATCTGAAATTCCAGATAATGAGTGGCGGAGAATTTCTGCCAAGGCACCCTTTGTTAAATTGATTCTTTAAAATTCTTTAGTTGTTGTTAGGTGCTGTTGAGTCAGTTCTGACTCATATTAACCCTATATGCACAACAGAATAAAACAATTCATTTTTGTTCTTTTATTTTGTTGTTCATTGCTTGGTTAGTTATTTTCCTTCCTGAAAGCAGTATTCTCAAAAAAGGGATTATTTCTTATTTTTTAACTAGTCAAGGACAGGTAAAATTTTTTTTAGACAAACTTCTGTGCTTTTACCCAGTTTGTGTTTTTTCACTCTTTCATTACAAGCACTGCTAACTTATTAATTATTGAGTGACCAGTTTCTTTGGATAACTAGACTGGGTGGTGAAATGTGAGCTGCCTTTGTAGGCTTATTTTCAGCTCTTCTGTATTAAAAATAGAGGTTTGCCTTGCTTAACGTCCATGGCACGGTCTTTCAAGTAGGTCATTAGCATGATTTGAACATTGTTCGAACACCATATTAAAATCTGTGAAAGCCCAATTTTAGTTGTCCTCATCACTGCTACTGCTACTGGAACTGCTAGTAGATGCCTGAGAAGAGTCAGTAGCAGTTGAGAGGCTAGGGGCAAGAGTGCGGAGCAAGAGAGAATGAGTGGAGAAGGGAGCTTTTCTGAGCAGTAGGAGCAGCCCAGCCATGTCCTCTGCCTTACCTGCCTGTATCCCACCCAGTGGTCCATTGTGAGAGACTGGGTTTGGGGTCTGTAAACCATTGCAGGAAATTACAAACAAAAGAGAGCTGCTTTCTCTTTTAAAAAAACAAAAAGAAAACAATTATGAGACCACAGACATACATACTGTTTTGCCCAAACAGATGCTAATGCTGTGCATACCTGTACTTGCAAAAGGATGAGTAAACTTTTGTGTGTAGTTCCTTATTTAGCCTCCTTCCTGGTGTGGCGCTCTAGGATAAACACTGGACTACCAACCTGAAGGTTGATGGTTCAAATCCATTTGTCATCCATTTGTCATTTGTCTCTTTATGATCAGTAGGTATGTATCCCCTATTATAATTGATCAGTGTTGTCCTTGATGGTTTGAATTTTGTGTCCTGACTTTAAAAGGATTAAAAATTTGTGGTATTTTCTTCTATTATAGCATGTGTTGTTGTTAGTGGTATTTGAAATAGTCTGTCTTTTCTGGTTTTGGCTTAGGTGCTAGTCCCATGGGAGTAAATGGAGGTGTGGGGGTTCAAACACCCAACCTTCTTCCTGACTCGATGTTGCATCCAGCCATAAATTCTCAAAAGTAAGTTTCATCTTGGATTGTTCTTATATCACATTTCAAATGTTTGCTATAATTCCATATTTGAGCGTCGGTGGTGTTGTTTTTTTTTTTTAATTTACTTTCCAAAATTTTGTTGAAGGCAAACAGGCTTTTTAGGCATTCTGCAGCCTCAATTTAAAATTGTATCAATTATCTCAGTAACCTACACTTTACCAAATACAGTAGGAAGTTGCAAGGTTGTAGCTGCTTGTATATTGAGTCTTCTCTTTCCTATTACCTGAGGATTTCCCTGAGATAAGGTTTCAAAGTGGCAGATTGGGTCTTAAGTATAACACACAAGACTTCATCCTCCCCTCCACACAAACAGATGTCTTGGTTTATCTTTCTCTCACACAGGTACATGCACACAGTTTTTCACCAAGACTCCTATTTGTAAATTAGACTCCACATAGTGTATTGCCTCCCTTGCAGTGATCACTATTAGCTCTACTTCAGTGAGACCTTTATTCTCTTACCCTTCATCATTAAACTTTTGTATGATTCTTTTTTTTTTTTGAAGCCCAATGATGAATGAAAATGCCAGTGTGACCTCTCTGGGTCCTATGCCAACAGCAACTCAGCCATCCAGTACTGGGATTCGGAAACAGTGGCATGAAGATATTACTCAGGATCTTCGAAATCATCTTGTTCACAAACTGTAAGATTGTGGATGTGTCTTTATAGAGATAGCATGTGAACGAACATTCTTTCAGTCTGCTAGCACTTCATGCTTTTGTTTCTGTCATTTTGTTGCTTTCCATTCTCTGTTCCTGCCTATCAGTCTTTCTCTCATCGTTTGTAGAAGTCTTTCAGTTTTAAGCGTATATAGCATGTTGTTTCTGCCTAGTGCCAGGCACATACTTAGGAATTGATGTTATTTTAAATTGTTCATTTTCGTGCCATTGCTTTTGTAAAACTTATTTTTAAAGGAATGCTAGTCATTAGCTCATTATAATGTTGGCCATGGCGGCATCCTTTTCTGTTATTTGGGTAAAACTTTTTTATTATATTGACACATTAAATCAAGTAGAATGGTCTGATCCTCCAAACGTGCTCATGTAAACAGTTTGTGAAAATATACTCTACTGTTGATGTTTACTGGGCAGTCTACCTTATTTGGTCAAAAAAATTCTTGTCAGACAGCAAAAGGAGCCGTATAGCCTGACAACATGGAAAGTGCCCACAATCAGAAAGGTAGACGTTGGTTCTAATTGATTCTTAAGTGACCGTAAGCTTCTGAACAGCATCAAGCATATTTTACGTGGAATCAGCAATCTCTCACATAATAGACGGGTCGCCTTTGTTCCATCCATTCAGTTTTGTTACATTCTTTAATGATAGCTCTAGAAATGGAATTTAACAACCAAAGGGAAACTCGAGAGATTTTAAAAAGCAAAATAACTTTTGTGATAAATTGTTTTAAGAAATTTTATTAAATATATGAAGAAGATAGATTATTTGGGATTGATCATCTGATTGCTATATCAGTTAGATTATTTGTAAATTCCATTTCTAGCTCTCCCATCTGGTTCTTTAACATACTATATAACTGAACATGGGATATCCAGCAATAAAATTGGCTAACTATCACATTTGTCAATATAAAGGAATGCTAAACCCCAACAATCGCTGGAGAAGGATGTCATGCTGGGTAGGGTGGAGGGTCAGAGAAAAAGAGGAAGACCCCCAACGAGATGGATCAGCCAGGTGGCATCCTTGATGGACTCAGGTGTGGCAGCTGTAGTGAGGTTGGCCCAGGATCAGACATTATTTCGTTCTGCTGTGCATGGGGTCGCTATGAGTCGGTTCCGACTCGATGGCACCTGACAACAACAACAAACCCCAAAAAAGCAAACCTGGCATCAAGTCAATTCTGACTCATTGTGACCCTGTATAGAGTTTCTGAGACTACATTTTTATGGAAGCAGTCTTAACCTTTCTGCTGTTGGCCAGCTGCTGGGCTTGAGCTGCCAACCTTATGATTATTTCTGTGCTTATCCTACAGCACCTCCAGAGCTCTTTAAGGAACAGTGGTACCCAGGATTCTGAAAGGAATTACTAGAAAATGAAACACTTTTAATGTAGCAGAATCATGCTCTTCTGCCACCTCCATTTAAAAACTCTAGATTTTGTTCTATTTTTTAGGGTTTATTTAGCTTTGCTGAGAGACTTCTGAAAGAATTGAAGATTGTTGCTATTTCATGTTACAACAAAGGTTTCCTCACTTCTATTAAGTATTGTTAGTGTCATCGAGTTGGTTCCAACTCATAGCACCTGGTGGATTTGAACTGCTGACCTTTAGGTTTCTAGTCCAGTGCTTACCCTACAGAGCCACACCAGGACTCCTTTAAATATTAACACAGTGTAATTTTTGTTATATATTTAGAATGACAGGAACAAAGAATATTTTTGTGGAATCCTACAATTTCATTGTAGTCAGTATTGTTTTTATATTTGAGCACACCCCATTGTTTTTTTTATATGTTTTATATTTGAGCATACTCCCATTATTTTTCTGTCATAGACAAATGAGAAAGGTGTTTGTAAATTAATTTTTTTTTTTTTTTTTACTGTAATAAAACTTGATACTTTAAGAGGGCAGTGCAGTGGCTCTTCAGGATAAGCACTGTACTGCTAACCACAAGGTCTGTGTTATCAGTTCCACAGGAGAAAGATGAAAGTTTTTTGTTGTTGTTATGTGCCATGGAGTTGGTTCCGACTCATAACGACCCTGTACAGTGTTTCTGAGGCTATAAATCTTTACGGGAGCAGAAAGCCTCATCTTTCTCCCGTAGAACAGCTGGTAGTTTCGAACTGTTGACCCTGAGGTTAGCAGCGTGATTCGTAACCTCTGTGCTACCAGAACTCCTTGATGAAAGTTTATGCTCCCGTAAAGATATACAGGCTTGGAAACCCTACATACAGAATTGGCATAAGTCAGAACCGACTCAGTGACACTTAGCATCAAAATCCACAATTAAGTGAAAATGAAAAGTTTAGGGGCCCTAGTTGGCACAGTGGTTAAGCACTCAACTACTAACCAAACGGTGCACAGGTAGAACTCACCAATGGCTCTGCGGGTTTAAAAAAAAAAAACACCTGGATATCTGTTCCTGTGGAGTCCTGGTGTGGGGCACTGTGGGGATAAAGCCCTGGACTGCAAGGTCAATTTGAACCACAAGGTCAGCGGTTCATACTATAACCAGCTGCTGCTTGGAAACCCTATGTAGAGGTCAGAACCAAAACCAGCTCTGTGGTGCTTAACAACAGTAACAAGAATACAGCCTAAAAAATCCGATGGGACAGTTCTACTTTGTCCTTTAGGGTCGATGAGAGTTTGTATCCGCTCAATGACCCATAACAATGAAAAGTTGAAAAATTGTAAGGTTCTATGATGAGTAGAAAGCTGATAATACAATTTTCTATTTCCAGTGTCCAAGCCATATTTCCTACTCCGGATCCTGCTGCTTTAAAAGACAGACGGATGGAAAACCTAGTTGCATATGCCCGGAAAGTAGAAGGGGACATGTATGAATCTGCAAATAATCGGGTGAGCACCTGTCTTTTTTCTGTTTACAGTCAGAAATGGATGTGTTCTGTTTGTTTAAATTAATCCTGTTCTTTAACATTGACAAGTAGTACTGTGTTTCAGAAAAGGAGCCTTTTAGCTATCCTGTTTTAACTCTTCCATGAAGCAGTCAAGATAAAAATGCAGTTGTTTTTAAGTGTATGTCATCAAGTATCTTAACTTTTTCCTCTTACTAATGCAGTACACTTAATGTAGCACTTTATCTGGGTTGTCCTTCTGTCAACTTAGAAACCAGCTCTGTGCTATTTTCACTAGTATATGGTGAATCAGCTCCTTAGTATATTCGTCTCAAGTGGCATTCCCACCTCTCTACATAAGTTGCACTTTTTAATTTGGTTCTTAAAAATGTAGCATTCTTTCCATAATCATGTAAACTGCCTGGATATGCTTTACTGTACATCTTTACAGTAAAGCTGCAGGTCACATTATCATTCCATACACAAGCTCATTTACAGTGATTTAAGAAGGTAGATTCAGTTCTGCTTTTAGTTTCTGCTTACTTCTAGGCTAATTATCTGTTCTTTGTTCGTTTTTTCTATTATCTGGTGATAGCTTTTTTGGAGGGTGGTTTCCCTCATCACTTTTCTTTTACTTCCAAAATGAAACAGGCAGAATACTATCACCTATTAGCTGAAAAGATCTATAAGATCCAGAAAGAATTAGAAGAAAAACGAAGAACTAGACTACAGAAACAGAGCATGCTACCAAATGCTGCAGGCATGGTACCCGTTTCCATGAATCCAGGGCCCAACATGGGACAGCCACAACCAGGAATGTCTTCTAGTAAGTGCTATTTCTTCTATTAATGTTGGTGATAAATTTTGGTAAGAAACTGGTTTGTAACAACAGTCATTAATTTTCCCATAAACTTTTGTGACCAGTTTGTGAATGACTCCTTGCCTTAGCAATTAAACTAATTCACTACAGAAAACACTAGTTCAACTATGCATCTAAGATTCTGAGGGTTAGTAATTAACATTTTTTTGATAACCTGACTTAATTTGGCTTTTACGTTTACATCCAAGATATGGTGGCATCAGATTCTGTAGACTTGAAGTTACTCTCTCCTGAGGCCTTGGCTTTCATTCATGGGTATTCACTTACTGGAACCCCACAGGGGCACTCCTGCTTCCTACATGTAGAGATGTTATTTACATTGCAACTCTACTTTGCACTATTGTGGTGGTGGTGGTGATTATGTGCCGTGGAGTCAGTTCTGACCCTGCACAGGGTTTCTGAGGGTGTAGAACTTTACGGGAGCAGAAAGCCTCATCTTTCTCCCACGGAACAGCTGGTAGTTTCGAACTGCTGACTGTGAGATTAGTAGCCCAATTCGTAACCACTATGCTAACAGAGCTCCTTCTGTTTTGCATAGTATATCCCAAAACTAAAGACAATTCTGTGTTTAGAAGCATTATTTAAATTTTTTTCTTTTGACAGCCTTGGCATTCTGGTTATTTTCAACTTGACGAATTAACTAGATAATTAAAATTACTATGCGTGGCTTAATTCTTTTTGCTTAGGTTCCTGGTAATAAAATATGAAGTGGATATACAATAATGAGGGAGAACATTGTTGTTAAGTGCCATTGAGTCATGGTGACTCTATGGTTTTTGAGGAGCCCCTCGTGGGTTTGAACTGCTGACTTTGCAGTTCAAACTGACCTTTAGTTCAGTGACCTTTAGTATTCTCATTGTCACACATAGGATATAGAAATGCCATTCGAAAGGCTGTGATAGGGCTAACCTTTAGTTGTTGCTTCAGGGAAACCTGTTTACCTATAGTAAGTGCCAGCTGAGCTAACAGGTACCAACTCTTAGATTATCAATGGATTCTAGATAAGGCAGATCCCGTTGACCCATGGAGTAGTAAAGGTAGGAACCATTGTTTCTTGCTGTCCCTTAGCTGCTTTTTTGTTGTTGTTGTTGTTTAAATTGGGTTATAAAGTGAGAGCACAGGCAGAAGGAACAGCCCACTTGTAAGGAAAAACACAGATATTGTCAAGTGTGCTTAAGAGTAGGTGGGCAAGCCTTTACAGTGTGTAGGACGTTAAGTAAAATCCTGAGACCCATCCAGAACCTTTTGAGGTGGGACAGTCTCATTAGAAAGGACAAGCAGACCAGCCTGGAACAGCTAGAGCAACAGAACTACATCTTCAAAGAAAGATCAGCAAGAAAATTCCAAAACAGAAATGGCAGTATGATTGACTACTACAAAAATAAGCAAAATTGTTCATCAGGGAACCATCAGGGCAAGCAATCAAGTCCCTTGAAGACAACTCCCCCTCCAAGACTGAAACTCAAAGGGAGTACATGAGCAGGCATGTAAACTTTACTGGCGACCATTGGTGAGGGGAAAAGGCAGCAAGAAGAAATGGGCTGAGTTCAATCACATTCCGTAGACTCCCACTGACCTGGAGATTGGTCCAAAGTGTGGTGAGACCTGGGAACTCCTGAGCCCATGGACAAGAACATGGCCACAGAGGGCTAGAACTGAGAGTGAAGCATCCAGCTGATAATGATGTTAAGGGAGACGAACAAGAATGCCCAAACTTGCAGATGGTACCCATTTGACCTAGCCATGATGGCTTGATGATCAGAACTCATTTTTTATTGTTAAGTGCTATTGAGATATTTCCAACCCATAGCAACCCTGTATAGGGTTTTCAAGGAGCGGCTGGTAAGGCTTGAACCATCGACCTTGTGTTTCAAACGGCTTTGCAGTCCAGCGCATTAGCCCACAGCGCTACATCAGGACTCCGGAACTCGATTAGAGGACGATTTAAAAAAAAAAAAAAAAAAAAAAAGATAAAGGAAACAAGTGTAAATTGCTACAATTTCATGAAGATCTATACTTACGGATGTAGTAGCTCAAATCAATCCTATTCTCTCTGTATACATTGTAGATAGGGATGGGCAACTTAGACATTAGCTACCTAAAATGGGAGAGGGATAAGATTCTTATGATTCAATAGTGAATGTAATTGTTATCACGACTATCTGAGACTGTCATAACTGTAAAGGTAGAAGTTTTGTAACAAAAACAGTGGAGTGGTTAATCTTACAGTCCAGAAACAGAGGCCATCAAAGGAATAGAGCACAAGCGGAATGCTGGACCCTATCCAGAAAGATGAGTCTATTTGTTCCTATACAGATTAACATCTTAGAAACCCTATGTAGTGTCACTGTGAATTAGAGTCAGCTCATTTGTAGAGGTTTTAGTTTGGGTGAAACTGAAATGTTGAACTCAGGGGGCTTCAAAAACTTTATAGGAATTTTCTGTTTTGTTTTCATTCCACTTTTTTACCAACTTTTTTGAAGCCCCCCTCCCCCCCCATATTTAAAATCACATTTTGCCTGGGCATATAAACCCATTTATTATTGAGGCACATAATTGAGTTTAGTCCCCACTGGATAGAGGGGTGAGTGAATTCATTACCTATCTGGCAAAGTGCTGACACATGAATAGCAGTTCTGAGATTTGACACTGAGTACCCCAATTCATAAAGGAATGTAGTGTTGCATCTTTTAGTATTCCTGAAATCAAATTTTCTTGAGGTTCCTGTTTGATGTAGCGTATGACATCAGATATTTCCCAGATATTGTTAAAAGATAATATGTTTTTCTTTTTCTCTTTTCTTTATTAGATGGTCCTTTACCTGACCCAGCGATGATCCGTGGCAGTGTGCCAAACCAGATGATGCCCCGGATCACTCCACAGCCTGGTAAGTTGTAAAAGAAATCCATGCCCCCAGCCATGAGTCTATGGTGTCATATAGGTTTTACTTGGCCCTTGGCTCCTGCCTGACACCAGCAGCAAGTATCCTAATCACCTACTTGAGAAACCAGAATGCCTCTTGTAATTAGTTAGAGCTCAGGGAGCAATAGATAGTGAAGGAACAGGCTGCTGGGCAAGGCAAGTCAAGAGGCAAATGAAGTTCAATGATCAAGCTTTTATTTACCAGCAGTTGGTATGGTTGAATTTGTTGATGATTGTTATCTTGATTAAGAAATCACATGTGAATTAACAGTGTCCTATGACTACCTTCGATGAAGCAGATTCATTTACAGTTCTAAGGCTGCAGGCAGATTTCTTTCTTTGATGTGATAAAATAATGGCAAAATCAAAAAGGATCTTTGCCCTTTAGTTTCTAATTCTCTAGAATTAATACATCTAACATTGTGCACGTATTCACAGGTTTGAATCAATTTGGCCAGATGAGTATGGCCCAGCCCCCAATAGGCCCCAGACAAACCTCTCCCCTTCAGCACCATGGACAGTTGGGACAGCCTGGAGCTCTCAATCCGGTCAGTTTGATTTCTCTGGGTAATTTATTTATAATTGATTAAATATCTGTCTTGGTTTCTGCATCATAAACAGAACTTCTTGTTTTTATAATCAAGTGTTAGATTACTTTTTGATAACCTGATTCTTTCTGCAGTTCTGTTGTACTTGACTCTTAATGTGTTGTTGTTAAGTGCTGTCGAGTCGGTTCTGACCCGTAAATCTTTATGGGAGCAGAAAGCCTCATCTTTCTCCCATGGAGCAGCTGGTAGTTTCGAACTGCTGACCTTGTGGTTCACAGCCCGATTCGTAACCACTATGCTACCAGAGCTCCTTGACTCTTAATGTAGACATGGGAAAATGCTGTGGTGGTGATGGTGCCATCAAGTTGCTTCTGATTCACAGTGACCCTGTATAGATAGGATCTCCCAGGGAATGGTTTCAACCACCAAAATGCAGTTAACAGTCCAGTGCCAATCCTACAGCACCACACCAGGACTCCTTACAAGTGTTACTGTTAAATACCATTGAGATTGTTCTGATTGACGGCAACCTGTATAGGGTATCTGAAGAACAGCTGGTGACTTTGAACTGCCTCGCTTGTGATTATAATGCTATCCCTGTATATGTGTTGTTGTTAAATGCTGTGGAGTCTGTTCCTACTCAGAACAACTCTCTCTGCCCTAACGCTAACTTTCCCAAACCCAGAAGCTCCCTGCACAGTGAACCATCCATCTTTTGTAAGGGAGGAGGAGGACCAGTTAGTTGGTTCTAGAAAGGGGCCTGAGCACCAGCCAGTCAACTTCTTGTTGGCCTCTACCCTCACCCTACCTGTCAGTTAACTGGTGTCTCCACTTTTTGAGCCTTTTTGGGATTATGCCGCATCACTTTTTTTACCGGTTGGTCTATCATGTTTAATGAGGAGACCTAGTCATCTTAATCTATAGATAAATGCTTTCTTAGATTGTAAGGTTTTTTAGCGTTTGATCTTCCGTGCTTTCTTTCTTTATTAAAAAGCTTCATTTTGTCTGTAGCCATTTTAGAAAAGAAATACCACAATCGTTAGCGCATTTGTAGTCTATAAATGACTCCAGGTTTGGCCACATCTTGAAAGGTTTGACTTGTTTAGATCTGTTCTCGGGCTGTAGCAGTAACACCAGCCTGAGCCGAGTCTCCTTGATGCACAGGGTGCCAGGTACATTCGTGTATGCACAGAATGTTCATGTGTCTTTTCACACTCGGTTCTCTTTTTTGAGAGGAGGCTGAGGATAGGCTGTGAGGCGATTTTCCCACTATCTTGGCAGAATCACCACTTTTTTCCTTTGTCTTCAGCCTCCCTCCTCTCCCACCTGTCTTCCGTTCTTTGCTCGCTAAGGTGACAGGTGATTCCAGTTACCAGAATATCAGTATGATGGTTTTGTGCCCTGTGATTTTTTCCGCAGCCTATGGGCTATGGGCCTCGCATGCAGCAGCCTTCAGGCCAGAGCCAATTCCTTCCCCAGACAACCTTCTCAGCACAGGGAATGAATGTGACGAACATGCCTTTGGGGCAGCCCAGTGGGCAAGCACCTGTGTCGCAAGTATGTGTCGCGAATGCATTTTGATGGGTTTTGTTTTTCATGTTATTTGAAACTTGTCTTGATTGAAGGTTTTTAAAGGGAAAAAGAGTTGACAGCAAGCGGTGGGTTAACAGATGATTTCTCTAAAAAAGCAAAAATTGTGGTCATTTGGCATGAACAGGAAAAGATTCCTCTGTGGCTTCTCAATAGCATTCATTGTTGGCACTTAACAGCAATAGCTAGTGTGTAATAACTCGTAGCAACATTGTATGGGGTTTCAGAGAAGCAGCTTATTGGGTTTGAACTGATGACCTTGTGATTAGCAAGCAGTCAAGTGCTTACCCTCAGCACCACATGAGGGCTTCTATGCTAGGAAGTGAGTTAAATTAGTGATTTTGACTTAACTTTTGAATGTAGCAGGCTCCTTTGTTGCAGTTGCATCTCATTAAGAACTACTGGTCAATAAGAACATTGCAAGGGCCTAGAAGATAGTTATGTCCTCACTTCTCCCACACCCCTACAGTAGCTGAGGTCATTTTTCTAAATGGCTTGGGTATATTGGTTGTATTATCAAAAGATAGAGTCCCACTAACAGGAACTTTGGCACACTTTGAAATAGAGACATCACCAGTTACTATTTGATTAGTCTGTGTCCTAAATGCCCATCACCTGTCTATGTGAAAACACCTTTAATTCTGTTCTAAATTAACATCTTGTTTTGTTGTTTTTCATTTTAACAGGCACAAATGTCCAGTTCTTCCTGTCCAGTAAACTCCCCAATAATGCCCCCGGGATCTCAAGGGAGCCACATTCACTGCCCGCCTCTTTCGCAACCAACTCTGCATCAAAATTCACCCTCTCCTGTACCTAGTCGAACCCCGACCCCTCACCACACACCTCCAAGCATAGGGGCTCAGCAGCCACCACCAGCAGCAGTTCCAGCTCCTGTTCCTACTCCTCCAGCCATGCCACCTGTGCCACAGCCCCAGGCTCTCCATCCCCCTCCACGCCAGACACCTACTCCACCTACCACGCAGCTTCCTCCCCAAGTGCAGCCTTCACTTCCTGCTGCTCCTTCAGCTGACCAGCCCCAGCAGCAGCCCCTCTCACAGCAGAGTACTGCCGCCTCTGCTTCCACCCCAACGGGATCATTGCAGCCTCTGCAGCCGACAACTCCAGTAAGCAGAGACCGGGCTCAAGTCACTGAGGCTACTGCTGCCACTGCGTGACTTCCATGGTGTTGCTCTTCTCTCCCCTTCATCTCCTTTTGTTTTCACCAGTTACATAGGCATCTCTTTTCTCTTCTGGACTTTGGTTTCTTCCTGTACTTAGCTTAGAAAGAACTTGCTTAGGTCTCACTTGTTATTTTCTGGGACCTGAAGGAGAGATGACAAGCAAACTCCCTCTGCTACTTAGTTTGTATTTTGAATAGTGGAGAATCTGGAGTACTCAGATAATGAAAGTAGCACATGACATTAAGAGCCTCTGTAGCCTATGTTAAAACTTGTCATTAGAAAAGCATGATCTAAGATGAGTTACATATAGGCTTATGTGTATAGCAGAGATCCAAATTCTCATGTATTCATTGAATCCTTTCTAATAAAACTGTGTCAAAGCTGAAAAGCTTTTCCTGAATCATTAATACTAATGTTTCAGTTCTTGGTCATGTGGGTGAACTGGTTCATCCTGGCCTCTGAGGGCATAGTGAAGAATGGAATCTATCCACTGACTGTATTTTATTCTCTGTAGACAAGTTTTTCTTAAAAATTCTAACTTCTTCTTTTGTGGTGTCTTAATTGGAAAGCTTAGAGAGAAAACGGCCAGTAAACGCAAAGGAAGTACTCATTAAAAAGTGGTGGTTCAAACAGCCACTCCGTTTCTTCTGATTTCTCCTTGATTTTCTGTACGTTTGAAATTTTCTGATGAAAAGTTAATTAAATAAAAATGGTCCATCACCCTTATTTTTTTTTTTCCCCCTTTTCATTTTTGTATAAATAGGAGTTCCTAGAGGAACCCCCCCCTCTCACTCCCAGTTTGGTAGCTACTACTGAAACTTTTGCTCTCATACAACCAGCTAGCCAGTGTTTACAACTTCTCAATCTCTTTTTCTTAAACATGGTTTAATTAAAGGGGTGAACTTGGCACTGAAAAGGGAAACAATGATAATGGCCTAGAAGTTCCACCATTCTTGTCCTGTGTCTGAAATTCTGGCTGGATAATTGGCTGACTTTTTTCTTGTTTTTCTGCCTCTTGTCCAGCTCTCCCAGCCAGCTGTAAGCATTGAGGGGCAGGTATCCAACCCTCCATCTACTGGTAGTACAGAAGTGAATTCTCAGACCATTCCTGAGAAGCAGCCTTCACAGGAAGTGAAAATGGCAGTGGATCAATCAGAACCAGCAGATGCCCAGCCAGAGGCTGTTCCGGAGGTGAGCCTACAGCAGTTAGTCCTTGGACTTGGTTAGGTCCTCATTCCGACTAGTAAATTTAAGGCTAGTTAATAGAGTCTGATCACTAGGCCTTTCCTTCCATGATATTTTAAGTGGATTTGAACCCCACAGCCTTTAGGTTAGCAATCAAGTACAAACCATTTACACCAACTAGGGGCCTCAGTACCTCAATAGAGAAACCCAAGGTTTTGTTTTGTTTTGTTTTCCTAAGAGAAGAAAGTTGGCAGAAAGTATCCTGGTAATTGAGTCTCTCTCTGTAGATGCCTATGTCAGCAAGGGTCTCCAGGTGTTTCTGCAGAGAGACAAAATAATATGCTAGGGAGGGCTCTCTGCTTACCAGGCGAGTCTTCGGAAAACTAAAATGTCTTACTTTTCCTTGTAGACTAAAACAGAAGAGCGTAAAGTGGAACCTGCAGAAACTGAAGAGAGAGGTGCTGAAATAAAAACCGATGCAAAAGAGGAAGAAGACCAGCCAAGTACCTCAGCCACCCAGTCATCTCCAGCACCTGGACAGTCCAAGAAGAAGAGTACGTTTCTTAGGCTCTCGTGATGAATCTGAGGGAGAAACCACAGACAGACCCAGGGTAGATTGGAATCATTGGACCTCCTGAGTGTCAGAAACTGACACGAATGGAATTTCATTCCAAGTGGAGCCCTGGCTTGGTTTTTTCATTATAGTTAACATTGGAAAATAATTTTTTTTTTAGGTAGATTCATTGGAAAGTAAGTTTTCATTAGGTAGATATTGAATTGATGCAACCACTGGGTCAGTAATTGTTTCAGGATGGCTGGGTGGTAGGTAGGAGGTTAGCAACTTCTAAAAGTTAACTTCAGGAATGTCCTTGACTGAAGCGCTGGATGTTACAGCCATAATACTGCTGCTGCTGAGTGCTATTAAGTTGGTCACAATTCATATTGACCCGTTATAGGGTTTCCAAGGAGTGGCTGGTGGGTTAGAATCCCACTGATCGGTGCTTATCCCACAGAGCTACATTAGGACCCCATAGCTGTGGTGGTGGTGTGCCGTCAAGTCTGTTCCAACTCATAACAACCCTGTATACAGTTTCAGAGGCTATGGATCTTTAAGGGAGCAGAAAGCCTCATTTTTTTACCTTGGAGTGACCGGTAGATTCGAACTGCTGACCTTGGCGGTTAGCAGCCCAGCTCATGCTCCACTGTGCCACCAGGGTGACACTATTCACTTTCTGTGTGTCAGGCCATCTGTCTGTTATCTGCGTTGTCTCATTTAATAACTTCACAACCACTCTGAGGTTAATTGATCCCTGTGGTTCAGATTTGGCAGACTGATTCAGTCTGTCTCCTCTGAGCCATTCTCAAAATGCCAGTTTAACTTGAGCAAGCAGAAAGCCATTCACTTACTGGTGTGTGGGCTTGAGGTCTTGTGGCTAGAGGACCCCAACTATGTCACCTTAAAGTGGATTCATCTTATTTTTGGAGAGACAATGCTATAAAATGTTGAGCTTTTAAATTAATTTTTAGTTTTTATAATCAGAGTTTTATATGTTGAGATACTTTATTATAGGGTCAACAGGCCCCTGTTTTAGCAGGAGTCTCTCTTTAAAACAGCAAAAGCTAATATATTTGCTCAATTCCTCCTTTAATTTTGAACTTAAATCAAGTTTGAGAGACAGAAAAGTGTCTGTTGTCCCTTTATTCTGAATTCCACTCCCTCATGGCAAGTCCCCACTGGAAGTAGAAGAAAATCTTAAATGTCGTGGACTACCAAAGATACCCTTCTAAAGGTACAGTTTACTTGCAAATAGAGTAACAAGGCCTGTGCTCAAACTTTTGAAGCTCAAAACTGAACTGTTGATGATGAGCTTCTTAAACAGTAGGTTCAATTAATGCCATTTGGGACACAGCAGCAGATCTTTCCTGCACTTGTGAAACATAAAGTTTCTCACCCTCTCATCAGCTCTAAAACATCAAGCATTTTGATGAGGGACTTTAGTGACGAGACCAGGTCTAGTTTCTGATGCTTTGACAGGATTTCTTTTTCTTCTGATCTACACCAGTTGACAGTTGACAGGTCTGCCATCTTGTAGTCACTTCAGCTGAAGCAAAAAGTATTTCTCCCTTCCAGGAGAGGTGGGCCATGGGGACAGTAGAGTTGATGCTTGTTTGTGATTCCTGAGGTGCGTTCAGAGGCTCATTGTGAATGGTTTTTTCCCCTTTTGCTTAATTGATGCTAATTTTTACATGAACTTCTTAAAGTTTTCAAACCAGAGGAGTTACGACAGGCACTGATGCCTACATTGGAGGCGCTTTACCGGCAGGATCCAGAATCCCTTCCCTTTCGTCAGCCTGTGGACCCTCAGCTTCTAGGAATCCCTGTAAGTCTGTGCTTAATATTCGTGGATTTGGGGATTTTGTGGGTTTGTTTGTTTCAATGTCAACAGCTTTATTGATGTATAATTCAAAAACCATAAAAGTCACCAGTTTAACGTGTTGCGGTATATTGGTTTTAGTATATTTATGAAACTGTCCAACCATCACCACAATTGTTTAAAACATTTTCATTACCCCAAAAAGAAGCTGTACCTATTTTCTCCCAAACCTCTCCAACCTTGTTAAGTGCCATCTAGTCAGTTCCCAGCTCATCATGTTCCAACTTTTAGGGTTTCTGGGGAGTCATTATCCTATCAGGATCCCATTCCTATGTCACCACTAATGTACATTCTGTCCCTATGGATTTGCCTGTTCTGGACATTTCATATAAGTGGGATCCTATAATATATGACCTTTCATGTCTGATTTCTTTTACTTCATTTGTTTTCTGGATTCAGCCATGTGGTAGTCTGAATCTGCCTTTCATTCATTCTTATGGCCATGTAATACTCCGTATTTTTTTAGTATTTTCTAGAAGTGCAATTTCTGGGCTATATAGATGTCTCACTTATTTCTGTCCTTTGAGTAATAGTAGACCATGCAGAAAAGATAAGTTAATAGTTTTATCTGCCTTAAAGTTGCTTTTATGTATCAGACTGGTCAGGTTTAGTTTGGAAATCTAAAGTCATCTTGGATATATGATAGCCAAAACTCTTCAGAAAAGTATACTCCCTGAGGTAAAAATAATTTATTAACATTTTCATTTTTTTCCTTTAAAGTTTTTATTGTGATTTGAGTGATTTACAGGGCACCTCATCAGTTTTACATTCAACAAATCACATACTTTGTTTCATTACAATGATTATAATCCCCTCCATGTACCATCAGTTAACAGTATTTCTTTATTCATTTTATTTTTTGTTTTGTTTTTTAAACACTCAGGTATATATAATCATTCAATCCACCAAAGGACACATTCTGCAAGCTTGCCTCCTGGCCGCCGGTTCTCAGTCCCTCTCCTTCCATGAATATAGAGTCCTCAGCTGATCTCTTTCTCCAGGTCTTCATCTCTGCCTCCATCTCTGGTGTCTGTGCTTCTCTGGATAGGGTCCCGCATTCTGCTTTTGCTCTTCTCCCTTGATGGTCCTAGGGTCCTCTGTTTCTGGACTTTTAGATTAACTGCTCTCCCATTTTTGTTACAGAACTTTTATCTTTACAATTATTACAGTCACAATTAGTCATGGTAAAGTTACTCACGATTGAATTACAATCTTATCCCCATGTTTTTTTCTTTTTCTTTTCAATGTTTAATTGTGAATTATGTGATAGTTTTCCATCTCAGGTATCACTGCTTCTCTGGGTAGGGTCCTGCTCTCTGCTCTTCTCCATTGATGGTCCCAGGGACCTCCGCTCCTAGACTGAAAAGTTAATCACCTCCCTCCTTGCTACAAAATATCTACCTTTACATTTCCCACCCTCACAGTCAATCCTGATAACAATTATTCACTATTTATTACAAGAAACCTATCCCCATTTCCTTTCATCAGCCTCACCCAGACAGATGGATTCTCCATCTCTTTTTACTAGACCCATCTTGACAAGATGAAAACTATTCAGTAGGTACTTTCCCTGCACACTCTTAAACTAAACTCCCTCTTGAAAACTTGTAAGCCAGTCACTTTGTGCCTTTATCACCCCCCTCGTTTTAGGTAGCAAATGTCTTAGTTGCCCATCCCTATCTACCTGGTATACAGGATTGACACTTGATGTGAAGACTCCTTCCCTCTCTGTTGGTATTTTGAGCTATAGGTATATAGGTGAGTATAGGTCAGGTTCAATTAATTTTGTATCCTGTAGTCGAGTTCTGATTATGAAGCCATCGAGGTAGGTCAAATAGTTACTGTCTGCAGGTTTGGTTGTTCTTGTGCATCTCCCCTCACTTCATGTTAACTGGATGCTTCACTCTCAGCTCTAGCCCTCTGTGGTTATGTCCTTGTCCATGGGCTCAGGTGTCCCCAGGTCTCACCACACTTTGGACCAACCAGCCCTTTCTATTCTCTCTCTCATCTCCAGGTCAGCGGGAGTCTGTGGTCCGTGGGTGAACTCTCAGCCCTATTAACTCTTTTGTATACACTTTCTTGTGACCTCGTTGTTGTTGTTTAAATGATGTTAAGTTGGTTCTGTCTCTTAGTGACCCTGTTTAGGGTTTTCTAGGAGTGGCTGGTGAGCTGGAACCATTGACCTTGATCCCTTGTAGTACGAAAATATTAAGGGTCTTTGACGTCTTGATTTTTCCAAATGTGTCACATACATCACAGTGACACATCTGGAACTACCTGGTAGACTGATGTTTGGAGAGTTCATTTGGGGCTCTAGAGGACACCATTACTTTGCTTTCTGAGAAGCTTCAGTGTGTATTCACTAAGTGACTTAAAGAAGTGACACGCATCAGTCAGCTGTTCGGGAATACAGACAGACGAGAGACGTGGAGTGTTAGTGGTGATGATGGGAAGAAGCACCACCTCCCTAAATGCAGCAGCACATCGAGTAGCATTTTTAGAGATGCTGAAGTGATGTTGTTTGGTGTCCTTTGTCCTTATAGGATTACTTTGATATTGTGAAGAGCCCCATGGATCTGTCTACCATCAAGAGAAAGTTAGACACTGGACAGTATCAAGAGCCCTGGCAATATGTGGATGATATTTGGCTTATGTTCAATAATGCTTGGTTGTATAATCGGAAGACATCACGGGTATACAAGTACTGCTCTAAGTTGTCTGAGGTCTTTGAACAAGAAATTGACCCGGTCATGCAAAGCCTTGGCTATTGTTGTGGCAGAAAGGTAAGAAATACCTCAGACCAATCATTTCTTCATTACAGTACCGGGCACCAGGGGCTGGGCTAAGAGAGGACACTGCTTTTGACATTGACAGGCTGTTTCCTTTGTACACCTTGTACATGCCACAGTCATTGCCTATTTACAGTCTTAGACTTTGTGTAAAGACGTTTTTACACAGATAGTGAGGTATTAAATTGAAAACTTGACCTGTTTGAATGCTGAATTATTAGACTATAAGCTCAATCAAAGGAGATGTTTTCTCATATTCATGTGCATCCACTGCCTGAACTGTACTTGCTCTCTTGTGCATACAAATTCACATGATGAGCTCCACCTAGCCTATTGAGTTGGTTCTGTGATGAGTTATGGAAGGCTATAACTACTAAGTCTGAACTACTATTCGCTAAATAGTATGCTTTTAAGTGGTCAAATGACAATTTTTCTATTACAGTAGTTTTACCATGTTTTTAAAATGGGGTGGGGGCTTGAATGGTTTTAGTTTTGTGAACTACGTAGAAACTGAAATATTCCCTCCCCATTCTGATGAACAGTGGTAAGCTCATGTAATTGTTTTGGTCCTTCTGGGCTTCTGTACTATTTATTTAACACGTGTTTCTTTTTCAGTTGGAGTTCTCTCCACAGACACTCTGTTGCTATGGCAAACAGTTATGCACAATTCCTCGTGATGCCACTTACTACAGCTACCAGAACAGGTAAGGTTGGCCATGTGTGAGCCACATGTGGACATGCATGCCCCACATCTAGGTAGAGCATGCAGGTGGACCAGCACACATGCAGTCATGGTTCATAATGTAACTTGCTTGAAAATAGCTGTGTAACACAAGTTCAGTTATTTTGTTTTCTGTATTTGCACAATTATAAGCTTTGTAACAAACAGTAGTCTTGTCTCTGTGTGGGCATTTATTTCTGTCAGGGAGGACACCCAAGACCTTATGAGGTGGTGGCAGAGGTGGGCCTGTATCCCAGGCTACACTTTTCTCTCCGTCACATTATTACAGCTCAGCACAGCCTCAATGAAAATAGGCAAGGTTTTCAGATTCGTTTTTCTGCTTGTCCATGAAATAGCCAGTGGGGTCCGTCCTTGCCCCAAAACTACCCAGAAAATTTGAAATCATGTTATCCCGCTGTATTTTTTGGAAATATTTCTGTGCAGCTTAATCCTAAGAGGTTCTTCTGGGGGGGTTGTGCAAACAGGAAGGCATAGGGTTTGCTTTGTCTCTGGTACAAGGAAAAAAGGAGAGAATCAAAAAAAAGCACTTTGCTTCAGACTCTTCCCTACAGAGACTGACACCTGACAGGCTGATGGGGCAGCTACAGTACCCTAGGTACCCACCGGCCTGCTTGTCTCCTTGCCTAGTCCCAGAAACCACGTTCCCTCGGCTGCCTTGATGATCACCATTTGCTTCCTGTTTTCAGTACGAGTCTCCCGTCTGGCAGCACTTGTATTCTTCTTTATTTGGGGCTCTCACTCAATCTTTCAAGGCCCGGGACTTTTCTTTCACATTGGCTATGCTGAACTTGTGTGCTACAGATGCATTTTATAGCTTTATTTTTTCTTAGTTCCTCAAACTTTATTTCATTTGCGTAAAGTTATTGTGTGCTTTTAATACTTAGTAGTCATTAGAAAACAGTTTTTACTCATTGAAGTCTAGGAAAGGTGAAACTTATTAGAAAACCTATCATTCAAAAACCTGATAACAACTTAAGTAAAAGTTTCCTTATGTTAACAGCCAGATATTTGTACGGCCCTGGGGTTGGTGCCATCATCTCTGTGCAAAGTGTTCTATGGCTTGAGGCAGTGTTTCTTTTAACTGCTGATACAGGGTTGTCAGTAAAAAGCCTAGTTTATACTAATGTGGCTTCCGTAGCACCAACTGGGGTTTTTCAATCCCTGGTTGTTTTTAGATGATCATTTCCTGCTACTATGGAGTTTGGGGGTTTTTTTTGTTTTGTTTTGTTTCTGAAAGTGGGAAGCATGGTGAACAGTATATTTATCCCTCTTTCTTTTTATGATTTGTATTCATGACTGAACTGAAAGGGTGTGGGTCTGTGTCAGCAGAGCTTTTTTGTTTGATTTGCTGTAATCATTTGCTACTTGTGATCCCATTTGAGATATTTAATGCTAATCTGTGCTTTGCCTTGGCTTTCTGCTTTGTTTGTCCTGTCTTGCTTTTATGTTTTTTGTTGTCCTGCAATCCCTCATTTCTTCGTTTGTTTTGTGTTTTTTTTTCTCCCTCATGCTTGTCGTTGTCTGCACTTGGCTTTGATTGCAAAAAACAAACAAACCAAACCAAACCAAACAAACAAACAAACACTCAAACTGTGGGGCCCATAAATCTGCATCATTGAATGTCCTTGTCGCCGTTGATGACCTGCTCTCTGCTCCCGTCCCCCTCCTTGGCCTGCTGTGATTGGTGGCTTCGTTGCTTGGCTTTGGCTGTGTTGTGTGAACGGAATAGTTCACCCCAGTATGGCCTTCTTGCCGACAGGTATCATTTCTGTGAGAAGTGTTTCAATGAAATCCAAGGGGAGAGCGTTTCTTTGGGGGATGACCCTTCCCAGCCTCAAACGTAAGTAACTACATTGTTTTGTCAAGTGCTGAATTATTTATCGTGTGATGACAAATCTGCTCTAAAACCACACTGGCCTGGTATATTAGATGCCAGCCACATGTGCCTATTTATAAGTTAAAACTAAATATTAAAATGGTTCAACAAGTGTATGTTTAAGGATACCATGTTGAACAACCCAGAGAACATTGCCATTCTGTCAGAAAATCCTTTTCAGTATTAGATGGTACTGATCTACAGACCGAACGTATCAGCCTGCGTCAGTCGCCTTACATAGAGTGAAATTGAAAGGTTAAAATAAAGCAAGGGAGGGAACTTGGTTATTCAAAGTGTTGAGCTTAAGGGGCGAGCTAACTAATCCAACCTGCATGGTTAGCAGAATATTTAAATCACTAATAGTAAATTGAATTCAGCAACACATTAAGATAAAGAGTTTTTTTGAGTGACTTATTAGAGATTCCTTTGGGCTTTTGACTTCTCACAAACTTACTGTTTGCCAAATACACTAAGGAAAATTTTCAAGCATAACTGAGCCTGAGATGCCTAATATAGTCTCTTAGTTAGACACTATTACTGTTAAGTGTCCTCAAGTCAGTTCTTAATCATAGTGACCCTGTACAGAGTTTCCAAGGAGCAGCTGGTGAGTTTGAACCACCAATCCTATGGTTAGCAATTCAGTGTTTATACAGTGCCACACCAGAGTCCTACTTAGACATTAAGAGACTATATTTCGAACTTGGACTGTTGTTTTAGGACTGTGTAGTATAGTTTTAATATTTTTCAGCTTCATATTATCTGGTTTATGCTACTATAAACAAAAACTGGTCAAAGTAAGACACAAGTCAAGTGGAATGATGGAACTGTTTTGTTACTGTCAAAAACAGCTAAGAAAAACTAGTTAATGTCCAAATTGGGTTTTAATGTTGCACTTTCCTTACAACCATTATTAAAATAAAACCCAGTAGTATCTAGGAGTTCAAGTCCACCAGCAGCTCCATAGGAGAAAGATGAGGCTTTCTTTTCCCAAAAAGATTTTTATAGCCTTTATTCAGGGTCACTATGAGTTAATAACACTTAAACAGGGTCTGGGAGAATAGATAGTGAGAACCCTTGAACTTTGAGGAAACATTTGACCCCTGACTAAACCAGAGGAGTCAGCTCTAAAAGGGCAGTCAGCCTTCTGGTTGAACATGTAGAATAGTTTGCTAAGCGCGTCTCTGGAGAGCAAAGTGTTACTTGCTTTTTGAGAAAAGCCTGTCCTGATTGCAAGATCTGTGCTGGACCTGATAGTGCGTTTCTAAGATCCTTCTCGTGTTGCTAGTCTTCAGACCACATTTATCTTCATCCATCCAGGAAAAAGCCATTCCTAGAGATGAGTCTCCTGTCTGTGGGAAATCATAGAGATGTTAGCATGTTATTTTGTGAGGAGAAAGCAGAGTAGTCAAAGGGCAGCCCCCTCTAAGTGAAGTTGATTCTAGATAGAGAAGAAGATGATTGTTAGCTTCTGGGTGTAGCGAGGCTGTAAACAATGTGCTGTCAGATTTCTGGAAGAGGAGGGAGGTGGGGGCACATGAAACTCTTAAAAGTAAAATACTCTAAGATGCAGAATTCTTACCCAACAAAAGATTACCTTTTGGATAATCTAAAGCATGTATTTTTAATGTTGAAATTTTTTTATTGCTATAAAAGGCAGTTTGACTAGATTCTTCTGAGAAAAGTATTATGTTTAAATTGTCATCTACCTCTCACTATAAACACCATCTATTGTAGCTCAGTCTAGGAACATTAATCTATAAAAGGGTATAAATAATAACAAGAGTGGTGGGCAAGAGTATAAAAAGGAAAGGAAGAAGGAACTGATGTTCTAGTTTTCTCCACAGTCTTCATTTTCCAAAACACAAACATGCCTTTATATATAACCATTTATTTTGTGTTAGCCAAGCAACATTTGTCTAATATATATTGAGAAGGATTTAAAGAATTATGTGAGGTCTCTAAGTTTGTTCCTATTGGATAGAGCAGTCAGATTGTTGTACATTGCTTTTTTTCTCATTGTGTCTCCTCTTCTCTCCATAGTACAATAAATAAAGAACAGTTTTCCAAGAGAAAAAATGACACACTGGATCCTGAACTGTGAGTATTTGAATGTTCTGTGTACTTGCCTTTCTCACCTTTTCACTCTCTTGGTTTCTGTGGTCACTCAGCTGGCCCTAACACAACTGGTAAAACCGTGGAAAACATCATTACATGTTAGGGCTTTATTTCGCCTCATATGTACTTTATTCATAGGCCCAAGCACAGAACCCACAACCTCCATGCTGCTATGTATTTCGCCCCTGTAACCTCTGCATCTGCCAACAAACAAATACATGCATTCCTGGAGTGCACCAGGAAATTCGATCTCTTCATTTTTTATAGGGAGACAGTTTTGAGCCAGGAGCACTGAAAATGTACCTTATCCTAAAGATGGAACTGGGTGGGTGCTATCATCTGTAAATTTCTTGAAAGTTCACTTCCTACTGCCTGTTTCCACAGTCACAATTCAAATGTTCACACTTAATGACTGAACATCGTTCTGATTTTGAAATTTGCTCTTATTTGTAACAATTAAGAGTTTTTTGTTTTTGTTTTTAAAACTGTAAACTACCTGGCTATTTTTTGAATTGTCAGATGTCGGGGAAAATACTGGAAAGTGACTTGATTAAAATAAAGTCTGGTGATTAATTTGGGAATGGGTTTGCATCCTAGGTTTGTCGAATGTACTGAGTGTGGTCGGAAGATGCATCAGATTTGTGTCCTTCATCATGAGGTCATCTGGCCAACTGGGTAAGACTCAACAGCAGTGTTTTAACTTTGCGTTTTCGGGTCATGAATGCTAAGGCTGGCTTTTTCTCCTTGGTGCTGACTGTTGTTATTTATAAAGTTAAAAATTTTATTAACAATTTAACAATTGTTTGTGTGAATCAAGAAAACAGTTCAAAAAAGGTTTTTCTTTGTGGCTTATATTTTTTACATTTTCTTTATAAGATTTTTAAAAATTATTACATGGCAATACTGACAGGTTATGTAAAAATGACTTTTGTTGTATGATTGTTATACATCAAAAGTAAAATATGTTTGAAATATTCATCAAGAAATCTGTAGTACCTAGAAGCTAGTAAACAGGTGTTAAGTGCCCACCCATTCAACTCATAGCAATCTTGTATAGGGTTTCCAAGGAGCAGCTGGTATGTTTGAACTGCCGACCTGGTGGATTGCAGTTCAGTGCTGATCTTATAGCACTGCACCAGAAGTCCAAACATGTGTTAGATGTAATTCAATCTACCAGACTTGGTCGTTTTACCATAGTAGAAAAATTAGAAGATGCAGCTATGAGAGAGAGTGGACCACCTCTCCTCCCAACTACTGTGAAAATATCATGTTATGACTGGTATATATATTAAATGACGACCTTAATTAAGGTCTGGTTTTTAGACCATTTCAAAGGGGACATGGCGGTAACTATAGTCAAATCATATTGTCAATGCGAGTTGGTAGAGTTGCATTAAAAATGACTAAATACTAACTGTTCTTAGGCTCTTAAGTTCTGTTTCTGAATGACTATCACTATAACTTGTCCAAGCTGCTCATTCTGCCTTCAGTACTCTGGGCAGTGCTCAGATGTGTTCTGAAGAAACACAGGAGTTTGGCATCAAGTATTTCTCCTTAGAATGGGACTCTGTTCTGCCCCCTGCTGTTCTTGGATTGAGTATTTATGCTGGTTTGGAAGTCACCTGAAAGAGGAGGCTAATTAACTGTTCAGAAAGTAACACTGAGAAAAACTGCAGCCCAGTCATGGCATTTAGTGGCTGCTTTTTTACGCATTCCTTATTTACAGAGTGGGTAAGCATGTTTGCAAAAATGGTGGTCATTCTTACAACTTGGAGTCATTTGCCTGGAAATAATTTATTTACTGGTATATTAAATCTTGCTGTTTCATTACCCAAAGGAATTTTTTTTTTGGTATATATTTGTCCTAAAGTATCCTGTTTAATTTACAACCCTCAAGCTTATTTTATATTTAATCCATTCATAGCTCTTCTGCCTTTCATACTTCTATCTGCCTATTTTTGGGGTTTTTGCTTTTTTTTTTTTTTTTTTAAGTAATTTGCATATTGGTTGAATTGACTTTTTACTATATATTTAGAAATATTTCCACCAGGTTGACTTTTTTCTTTTCTTTTCTATTGCTAATTCAGAATATAGATTTTGTCATAATTACATAAATGTATCTTTGTTTAAGCAAGTCTTGGTTTATATTTTAGATTTATCTGTGATGGCTGTTTAAAGAAAACTGGACGAACTAGAAAAGAAAACAAGTTTTCTGCTAAAAGTAAGTTTTATTCTTCTAGGTGTGATCTTGGCAAAACTGAACCAAGTTAAGAAGAAACCATCTAAAATGTACTACAATGTTTCAACCTTAATTGAAAATTTTAACTAGATTAAAAATCAAATTATAATATATTTAAAGTTAAATCATGTGTACATTTCTGGTATTAAAAGAAAAATATCCTCCTTATTTGGGGCACCTTATGTGGGCCAGATGTGGAAGTGTTTGGCCAGAATGCCATCCCATGAGTGATTTCCTTCAGCATTGCCCATACCAGTAATGGAACCTGCTGAGGCTTTCTGTGCTGTTCTCAGTTGGGGTGGAGGGAAGGGAATGTGCAGAATTGATTATGCAAGCGGTTGATGTGAAGGTATTTAGTTTCGCTAATTTTCTAGATGTCTTTGCAGCACCTAGAAAATTAGTGACCTACAAAGGCTCCGATTCCTACAATGTTATTCAGAATGTCCAGCATCATTTTTAAATAAATATTGGAATGTAGGCATTCTTGTCTCTTTTCTTTGAACTCATCCAAAATTTTTAAGTTTTTCAAGATAAAAATGTTCAAGAAAATATAATTTTAAAGGAGTGACTTCAGCGGGACATATCCGCAAATTGGGCTGTTTACCTTGATACCTTTTTAAAATTTTTATCAAGTTAACCTGAAAGAAATGCCATTTGAGATTGAACCCTGAGATATAATACATTTGTACCTTGGTAACTGCTGAGCTTTTCCGTTCCCAGGGTTGCCATCTACCCGGCTTGGCACCTTTCTGGAGAATCGTGTGAATGACTTTCTGAGGCGACAGAATCACCCTGAGTCAGGAGAAGTCACTGTTCGAGTAGTTCATGCTTCTGACAAAACTGTGGAAGTTAAGCCAGGCATGAAAGCAAGGTAGCTGAGCCGTTCCCCTTTCTTCTTGGGCTCCTGCAGTCCTATAGTCCCATCTGAATGAGATTTATTGTGATTTCTTCTTCCACTCTGAATCTTGTAGGTTTGTAGATAGTGGAGAGATGGCTGAATCCTTCCCATATCGAACCAAAGCCCTTTTTGCCTTTGAAGAAATTGATGGTGTTGACTTGTGCTTCTTTGGCATGCACGTTCAAGAGTATGGCTCCGACTGCCCTCCACCTAATCAAAGGTATTGACTTCCTTAACATTTCTATAGAAAAGAAAACAAGTTTTCTGCTAAAAGTAAGTTTTATTCTTCTAGGTGCAATCTTAGGAAAACTTAACCAACTTAAGAAGAAACCATCTATAAAATGTACTACTTTGTTTCAACCTTAATTGGAAAAATTGCCTTCGATTTGGTGGGGTTTTCAAGTTGTTATAGGAGTCCTGGTATGGCACTATAGAATAAGCACTCGACTGCTAACCACAGTTCAGTGGTTCAAACTCACCAGCCACTCCTTGGAAACCCTATACAGGGTCATTTTATTTATGAGTCAGAACCAGCTCAACCATACTTAACAGCAACAACATAGGTGAAATGATTAATGAGAAAATATTTGTCATACTTGGTTTGGAAATTTCAAGTGTCCTCATGACAATGATCTATCTCATATCTGAACAGAAGCTGGGGCTGCTGCTCAATTTTGCTCTTCTGTTAAGTAATAATATTATTGTGAAGATACACGCATATCTGAAATTGGGATAGGGAAACCAACTTAATACTTTAAAGAAAATGGGTATAAAATCCAGGCTGTGTTAAATACCTAAGAGAAAGTTGTACAAATCAAGTAGAACATGGTTTAGAATTTGTCTCCAGAGTATGAAGGCTGCCAAAGCACATTTGCATCAACAAATAATGACAGATAAACTGTGTGCCCGGCACTGCTTGGTACTAAAAATTAAAAAGATTCACTGGCTTCCCAAGGGAGTTCAATCTAGTCATTTCCCTAGCTAGCCCTCTTACTGTGTGATGCTCATTACATGTCATTCCCAGGGAGCCAGAGCCCCCAGAAGTGTGAATGTGTTTTTTAGCCATGTAAATAAGAACTCATTATGTGACTTGGTTTTCCTCCTTCCTTTGATACAGGAGAGTGTACATATCTTACCTCGATAGTGTTCATTTCTTCCGTCCTAAATGCTTAAGGACTGCAGTCTATCATGAAATTCTAATTGGATATTTAGAATATGTCAAGAAATTAGGGTGAGTATACTGATAATACATGTTTTTCAAAACCATTTGAGTGATCTTATGGTGAGACATAGGCTATAGCATGCCAGTATACAAGCTTTAGCTGATCTTGAGTTAGAAGGTCACGATTCGCAGCATTCACCTGGTTTTCTCACAGGGCTTTCATCTGGCACAATTGTACTCATCTTTGTTGAAGATAATGTTACCAATAGGAAAGAAATAGACATTTTGGTCTTTGGACCCACCTCAGCCCATCAAAGGTCTTTATGGTCTTGGTACCAAGATGACTTTTAACTTGTTCAGCTAAGCATTTGGGGGCAGTTTGTTAGAAAGGTAATTTGTTGTTCATTTGAGGGACAGGACCTGAAACTATATTTGGTCCATTTATACATATCTGCTGTCAAAACCAAAAATATATCTTAACATCGAAAAATCAGACTAGTCCTTCCTTACACTTCAAGGTATTTATGTTCTGGAGAACATCTGTCACCTCACCTTCCATGGTATTCTGATTAAGAATTTGTGTTAATGTTCCTGTTGAATGGGTTAATGTTAATTAACATTTTGTGTTAGTGCTCCTATTGAAAAGGGTCCATTTAGTAGTATTCCATTGGTCCATTGGTCTTAATATGCAAATTTGGAGCTTTTCAGATCCAGAGTTAAAGGCAGCATCTCTATGACTGAAATTCACAACATGAAGTAGCAATTACTAGTGCTAAGAGGTCTGCCTGGTTGTGGCCTTTTGATCCACAGTTAACAGGTTTTGTGTTTTCATTACAAAAATCATTTCTGCATCGGCGCTGCCTTGTGGGTTTAAAGTGTGTCATTCTTTGCAAAATGGATAATCATGTTATTGTTTCTTTTCTTTGTCTTGGTAGCTATACAACTGGGCACATTTGGGCGTGTCCACCAAGTGAAGGAGATGACTATATCTTCCATTGCCATCCTCCTGACCAGAAGATACCCAAACCCAAGCGACTGCAGGAGTGGTACAAAAAGATGCTGGACAAGGCTGTGTCGGAGCGTATTGTCCATGATTATAAGGTCAGCTGGAGTATGGGAATAAAACCATAAATTTGGACATTACTAATCTTGCAGCTTCAGTTCTCTCATTTTAAATGCTGTAAAAGAAACCTTACTACATTGTGCCTTCTCTGTGTCATTAGTTAACTCATGCTAATTTGGAGTGTTTTTGTTTTGCCTGATTTTTAAGACAAAGTATATATGACTTACTAAGTATGAGTATTCTGGAACACTGAATTATGCAAATCTGTACATGGACCAAGAGGCAGTTGTTGAAACATACCATGGGAACAATGAATGGTTTAAAATTAGGAAAGGTGTGACAGGCTGTATTTTTTCACCATACTTATTCAATCTGTATGCTAAGCAAATAATCCAAAAAGCTGAATTATATGAAGAAAAATGTGACATCGGGTTTAGAAAAAGATACATTAACAACCTATGATACGTAGATGATACAACCTTGCTTGCTGAAAGTTGAAGAAGACTTAAAATACTTACTGATGAAGATCTAAGACCATAGCCCTCAGTGTGGATTGCATCTCAATGTAAAGAAAACAAAATTCCTCACCGCTGGACCAGTAAACAATATTATCAACGGAGAAAAGATTGAAGTTGTCCAGGACTTCTATCTTCTTGGATCAGCTATCAACACTCGTGGAAGCAACAGTCAAGAAATCAAACAAGGTATTCATTGCATTGGGCAAATCTGCTGCACAAGACTTTTTTTAAGTGTTGAAGAGCAAAGATGTCAGCTTGAGGACTAAGGTGCACCTGACCCAAGCCATGGTATTTGCAATAACCTCGTATGCATGCGAAAGCTGGACAGTGAATAAGGAAGACCGTAGAAGAATCGATGCTTTTGTGTTATGGTGTTGGAGGGTAACATTGAAAGTTCCATGGGGTGCCTAAGGACCAATAAGATCCATGTTGGAAGAAGTGCAGCCAGAGTGTTTCTTGGAGGCCAGGGTGGCCAAACTTCGTCTCTCATACTTTGGACATATTGTCAGGAGGGACCAGTATCTGGAGAAAGATACCATGTTTGGTAAGGTGGAGGGTCAGGGAAAAAAAAAAAGAGAGAGGAAGACGACTCCCCCCCCCCAGCATGATGGATTGGCAAAGTGGCAACATCAATTGGCTCAAGCGTGGCAACAATTGTGAGGTTGGCAGTGTTTCGTTCTGTTGTGCATATGGTCGCTATGAATCAATACCCACTCGATGGTACCTAACAGCAACAATATATATGACAAAATGGTTGGTAATTGTTAATTTAAAATTCAGTCAGGTAAGTATACCAGTGTTCAGTATTTACCTTGTACATTTTGAAATTTTCAGAGCGGTAAGTCTCTGTTTGAGGATATAATACCTGTGCTGGCTTAAAGTTTATTAATATAGGCTATCTCATGATATGAGAACTTGTTTTTACTCATGTGAGAAAAAATCCACTGGATATTTTCTTAAATAAGCCCTACAAATCGCTCTTTGACCATACCATCTCCTGTATTTGTAGTTTGGGTTGTCTTAAACATAGTTTTTAGTAAAAATTACCAAAATTCTCATCCTGAGAAAAAGTGATGCAAGCCTCTGCCAGCTTTGAGAAGAGACTTGGATCCTTCATGTTTCTGTGTGTTTAGTTAACTATGCCGTACATCTATCTGTAGGATCCATGGTGTGGTGAAGAAAAAGCATTCCTTATTGTCTATGGCTGGTTTCTTTTACAGGATATTTTTAAGCAAGCTACTGAAGATCGATTGACAAGTGCGAAGGAATTGCCTTACTTTGAGGGTGACTTCTGGCCCAATGTTCTGGAAGAGAGCATTAAAGAACTGGAGCAGGAAGAGGAAGAGAGAAAGCGAGAAGAAAACACCAGCAATGAAAGCACAGATGTAAGGGCGTTGTTTTCCTTTTCCACTGGCTTTGCTGTTGGGCTTTAGAAATGTTAACTTCAATATTAACTGATGGCCCCCCCCATCCAAAAAAAAAAGCTACAGAGGATAGAGAGAAACACTGTTAACTGGTGATATATGGAGGGGATAATAATCAATGTAATGAAACAAGCTATATGAATGGTTGAATGTGAAGCTGATGATGTGCCCTGTAAACTTTCACTCAATGC